ACTCCCAGCCCTTCTGCTGCCTGGGATCTCCCTCGCACCGCCTACCTCGCAGGCAGTTGTTTGTTTGTTTGTTTTTGTTTTTAAAATCCCCATACTATTTCCTCCCACTTCCTGTCACGTTCCACCCCCCTCCCCCCCTTTACCGTTTTATCAGCAAAAAGTAACAACAGGAAGCATTCGCTTCTTTAAACACACCCTACAGTTACGCATTCAGGGCTGCTCTGCTCATGTGTGGGATGAGAGCATTTACCTGCCCACCTAGAGCACAGCGAGTGTCCACCTGCAGAGGCAGCACGTGGACTTTCCGTGGGCACCGTCGCTCCTGTCAGGCTCACCTGGCAGCAGTCCTCTGCGCGTTTAAAGTGCTATTTGGGTGAGAAGAAGAAAAAAAACCTATGGCTACTGAGCATGCCCAGTCCTTCAGCTAGGCTCTTTACAAACTGCGAAACCCCAAAGCAAAGATCTTGGTGTTGACCGCACCTAAGAGGAAATGGGGAAGCGAAAGAAGATATGGGTGGGAACACCTAGGGACAGGTTTCAGAATACCTCCAGCGGCGCTGGGAGCCGCAGGGGTTAAAGGAAAGAAACAAGTGGGCGATTGTGAAGGCAGATCCTTAAGTCTCTAGACTGGGAAATCATAACGTCTCTGCTGTTAATTCCTCCCCAACTAGCAAGTGCCCTCACCAGTTTGAGCCTTAGTTTTCTTGACTGTACAAGGGTGGGATTGAATAGGTGATCGCTTTAAGACGCTTTCAGGTTCTGACTCCCCGGGATCTTTCCCCCCATTGCAGAACTGTTCATCATATTAGAGTTAACTGCCTAGCACTCTCAAAGGGTTTGATCATCAAATTTGGGATATCATTGCAGAGATTCACTGTTGTTTTTTCTTCTCTCAAAGATACCATTTACTGGTCAGCAGCAATGTGAAGGGCCCAACACGGGATCAGGTTTCCCTCACCTTCCTCAGCACTGTAGGATTCTCTGAGAATCTCTTCTCTAAATGGCCTTCTCTTATCTTGTTCTCACCTCCTTGTTTTACTCTCATTCCCTTTTTGGCCTGTAGTACTCATTAAAACTTTGTAGAAGTGGAAATCTTGGACTGAGTGGCGTTTGCCACTCTCAATGTAGAAATGAGCATGGGGTGGTCATTTGGTAGCACTCAAAGGCCTAGAAAATTAACTTTTTAAAACCCATATGTTTGCAGCTTCCACTGATCTCTTCCGAATTCCCAGTGACTATGAGTCAAAGGTGTCATGACCTAGTGGCCAACCTTGGGGTCACTTTTGGAAAGTGGTTTCTAAATGGAAGAGTCTGAGATTCTGATTCTCAGGAACTTTGCTGACACCAGGTGGCCCAGCTCTCTCACCTCTAAGAATTACTGCACTTCATCTATGACAGAAAAATCCTGCAGCTACCAGGAGATTTAGAAATGAACACAAATGTATTAAGGCTTATAAGTAGAGCAGGTGGAAGCTAAGCTTAGGTAATATTCAGACTTCCCCCTCCGATACATAATGTAGCCTTGAGAACACTTGCAATTCATGTAATCTCCCCAACGACAAGAGTTGCTTCTTTGAGTAAATATTTGTAGACTTGATAACACTCATTAAACTGGTATTTAAATCCATTCCTTAAGAAATGAAGATTGCATATCAGAATTACTATCTTACGGTAATTTTTTGGCTAAATTTTTGAATAATTATTTAGTAATTGCAAAAATATGACTTAAACTGATTTTTGTGCTCATCTGTCACTCTATGGTGGGAGGCTACTTATCAGAATAAAATATTTACTGTCACAAAGAGAAGATAACCAGATTGGTCTGGTAGGCTAGAATGAACAGACTCTACAATGCATTACAATGCCTCCTAGTGGCCTCTGATAGCTAAGACATCATAATTTACTACAAAGGAGTGTAGGTGAGAAGAAACGTTTAGTATGTATAATTTTATATGTTTCTTTCTCTACTTGCCTTCTTTTCCTGGGGTTTTAATTCCCAATTATGGAATTATTTTGCTACTTTTTTAAAAAACTCATTTCTGTGTCATCAAAAAACTAATTTTGAAAAAGCTTAAGATGGGATATTTCAGATGTTAAAGTAAATTAATATGTTTGATAATTTATACTGATTTGGTCACAATTAAGTAAGAAAATCAGAATTCTGGATTTTAAAATTGCAAAACCACATCAATAGACAGAAAGGTCCCAGTGAGGTTAAAATAATTTCCTATTGGAGTTAGCTCTATACTTATAATAGAGTTTCTCTGCACAGAAGTAGTTTACCTAATACCTAAACATGGAATCATTTCTTTAAAAAGAGCTTAACTGAGATCAAACATATTTCTTTAGAGGCTTTTCCTTTATTCTCCCCTATTTTCCATAGATTTGTCTGATGTGGTTGCATTGTGGGTTGACTCACCTGTTTATTATGATTTTAAAGAAGGCTGGCTTTGAAAATGATACCAGAAAGACAAAGTACCTCCAAGTCTTTTTATGGGACACTGGGCATTAGAAAATCTATCTAAAATCTGTGATTACCTCTTAAGGAAAGTTTTTCATGTCTACTCTTTGTGAAGGAATTAGCTTAGTTGCCACCTCATATTATAAATAAAAAAAGACTTGTCAGATCTCATTTAAGAATCTAATGACTACAAATTACTATGTGGTATACTATTTCCTTGAGGAGAAAAAGGATCAGAATTAAAAAGTGTGGCTAAAATCTTTAAGAGGAACACACAAAAAAACCCACACATATCCCTTTTCCCATCAACCCTATGAGCCATTGCAAAATTATTTATACCTGGTTATGTATGAAGTTTTGGATGTTATTTAATAAAGTTGAAACTATCAAATAGAATTATTCTAAGAATATGTGTAATTTTTATCTTTCCACAATTTCATATTTTTGACAAGATAGCAATTATCTTAAGATGAGAATTAAAGTATAGGTGGTTTTAGTTTTGCAAGAAAAATGAATATAAGATCTGTTATATAATTGGTCTATATGCAAATGAAACATTTTATTGGATTTGAAAACTGGCTCTATTATGCATCCTAATCAGTTAATCAGTTCCTGTTCTTTGAAAGACAGGAGCATCTTAATGTAAAGCAGACACTTAAAGAAAATTAAGTTAGATGTGAGCCAGAGTATCCTTTTCAATGTAAATTTAACATTCAATACAACTTCAATAATTACACATTTGTGAGTGTATCCTGGATGAAATTTCATTAACATGTCTACTTCTACCAACATGATTTGGCCTGATATTTTTATTTCTAATATGAATCCATCATTAATGAGCCTGACAGCGAACTTAATTGCCATTTACTCCCTACCTCTAAAGTTGTCATTATAATAGCTGTTCTATGGAGTCTGCGTCTTCCTGCTATATCTTCTCTTCTCTCTGCCTTAGGGATACTGACTCTTTTAAGCCACTTATAGACTATTAAGTAATGTATTGTTGCTGCAAAATCCTTGGTAGCTCTAGTATTCTACATGATCTTCTAATAGTTTGACAACATTCATTTTGGGCTCTTAAGAATCTACATTAAAGCTTAAGAATCTGCGTTTTTGCCTAAGAATGAAGTATGCTCTGGACAGAGTAGAGCCCTCCGTATAGGCAAATAACTAGATTTTGTACTTTCCCTTGGACTTGGGAATATCATGTGTCCAAATAGAAACTTGCACAATAATAAAAAAATGACTTAAAAGCAAGATTCAGGCTACATGGTGCACATTTACACTGTTTGTAGAGCTTAAGAGGGAGTGAATGGGTAAAGGTAGAAAGCTATTGAGGAAGGAAGTTCCAAGTACAGAAAGTATGTCTATATACTTTTCCAGCAAAATCTAAGAGGAAGAACAAGACAAAGACATTAGTCCAAAGGTTAGAAAAAGCATGTTGCAGACATAAACATTAAGTTTTGTGGGGTTTTGTTGTTGTTTTTCTTTACTATGGTATTTTAGTGTATTAAGTGGAGAGTTTTTAACACTAGTTTACCTTCTGGTAAATGAAAGTAATTCTAGAAAGTTATTAATAGAAAATTGATTTGCATGCTAAATTCTTGGTATTTGGCTATCACATTTAATGAATTATAGTTCTTTGAACTATAAAATTTACTTTTAAAAATCATGTGACAGAAAACAGCATATTATATGATCTATAAAGTTTGAAACTACTGTATTGTATTCAAGAAACAGTGTCCTCAGGATTAAGGTTCAGAAGTGTGAGTTCAAGTATGGGTTCTATTAATTACAAATGTCATGTCCTTAGGCAAGTCAGTAAACCTCCTTGAGCCTCAGTTTCTTTATATGTAAAGGGGATGATAATATCTCCATACCTATGCTAGAGGACTGTTTTGGAGGACCAGATAGAAAATGTAAATAGAAGATTCTCAATAAACTATAAAATACCAACATACCCATATAAGTTATACTGGTTGCAGCTAGAAAAAGATTGACTTGACTCATGGTAAGCAAAACAACAACAACAACAACAAAAAACAACAAAACCCCCACAAAAGCATAATTAATAGAACATGGTTATAATTAATGAGATCACAGAGAGCTAAGAACACCTCTATTATATAGTAACTTATGATCACAATAGCTTCCATTTGTAGAATGCCTAATGTGTGTGCTAGTTCTTACCTCTCTCTTGTAGGGAGGCATTTCCCTCAATTTGCATATGAGGAAACTGAAGTTCAAAGAAGACAAATGATTTGCATAGTTCAAATGGCCAGTGAATTCCTGAACTGGCATTCAAACCCAGGCCAGTCTGGTTTAAGGTGTTATACCCTTCACATTATACAATGATGAGATTATTTTCTTTTTAGTTTTTTCCCCATCTATAAAATGGGAGGGCCATCAGAATAAGTCAGTTGTACAGCACTTTTCAGTTTACATAGGACTATCACGTACATCATTATATTTATATTTAGCAACATTGGTCTACTGCTGTTTGGAAGATTTTTATTAGTCATATGTTCATTAATAAATACAAATTGTTATTTTGTTTATGAATTTAGGTATCCTGGAATTCATCAGTGTGGCAGTGGGACTGGTCAGTATTAGAGGTGTGGACAGTGGTCTCTACCTTGGAATGAATGACAAAGGAGAACTCTATGGATCAGTACGTATTTTTAAAAAATTATGTAATTCATAAAACAATGACTATCCATTTTGTAAGTAAAATATCTACTAATAATGCATTTCAGAAGAAATATATTTATGTACAAATTTTATGTTCTGATATGTTTCTATGTGTCTGAGCAATAGTATAGTAGCTCAGTTTTATTTTCCAAAGCTTAAACCCTTATTGCTTTCAGCTCACTAGGCTTTCCTGCCCATTATCTTAGGTCTTTTTACTTTTCTTCATATTTTGGTCATTCCCACCAGAGATAAAGAAAATTAGAGCATTTTCTTTCTGCCATGTTAGATTCTTTTTGCCTTTACATTCATTTAATGTAAAAATTTTCTACTCATTATCATCCTCTATAGCTAAGTATATATCACTTGCTATCTTTGTTTTATTTTTTAAAATATGTTTTTATTGATTTCAGAGAGGAAGGGAGAGGGAGAGAGAGAGACAGAAACATCAATGATGAGAGAATCATTGATTGGCTGCCTTTGGCATGTCCCCCACTGGCAATGGAGTCCACAGCGTGGGCATGTGCCCTGACCAGGAATTAAACCATGACCTCCTGGCTCAATGGTTGGTGCTCAACCATTGAGCAACACAGGCCAAGCCAAAATCACTTCTTAAAGTCAAAGTCTCTAACAAGTTACAAAGACAATTTATGATTTAGCTGATGGCACTGTCTAGTACCTTTTTTCCCTTAAAATCTCAACTGAGACCACATGTACAGTTAGAAACTCCATATACACAGAAAAAATTAGTTATAATATTTCAGTAAATGGCATTCCACTTATTTCTGTCCTTCGTAAGAGCAAACCTTGCTCTTTCCAGGCTGTCTGTTCAGAAGAGAAATACTACATGTGTAATAATCACAAGAGTAGAATTACAATTGAAGGAGAAAAACATGCACATAATTTTTCTTTTTCATGTATATGTTGTATTAAAAAAATCAACTGTGGTCCATCTCTTAGGATAATATACAGTCCATCTTGAAGAGACAAGAAGTCACTGGGCTTTTCCTGCATTTACCTAAAAGTAACATCCAGATCAAAGTTAGTCATGGAAAATGTATCAACAAACAATAAATTAATAAATTCATAAAGCGAATATATATGATTTGGAGTGATGATCTTAAATTAGGAATTTGGATGTTAGCAAGATCTTGAAGTGTTTCAAGATGTAGTAGAGATTTTCTACGTAGAACTTTGGGATCTAATGATGGAACAACATAAACTACAGGCCTCTTTGTTGGTGATAATATTAGGAGGGAAATAAAATGGAGCATGAGAAAGTTCAGAATATTTTTTTTAAAAAGTATTTGAAAATAAAATTGAGGATTGACATGAAACAAAGTTCTTTGAATTGAACTGCTGGGAGAAAGAATTCCAAGTTACATAAGAACTAAAGCAAAATAAAGTAAAAACAATTCAATCTTTCTCCTTCCTTGGCAAGGATATAATTATAGGCAAAGAACTAAAAAGATAGAGTTGAGATTTTTCTAAAAAAATATTTTCAAAGGTTTTTTTCTTTTTTTTTTTAATGACAGTTATCTTCTCTCTTTTAGGAGAAACTGACTTCTGAATGCATCTTTAGGGAGCAATTTGAAGAGAACTGGTATAATACCTATTCATCCAACATATATAAACACGGAGACACTGGCCGCAGGTATTTTGTGGCACTTAACAAAGACGGAACTCCAAGAGATGGTGCCAGGTCCAAAAGACATCAGAAGTTTACGCATTTCCTGCCTAGACCAGTGGATCCAGAAAGAGTTCCTGCATTGTATAAGGACATACTAATATACACTTAGAGTGTGATCATGTCTTTACTGAAGAACCAAACTGCAACCATTTTTTCTTATTATAGTTCCCAGAGTAAAATAATAACCCAGGAAGACATTCAGAATGTTTCAGAGCCTATTTTCCACTCAGAGACTGAATTTGGAAAGAATATTAGGAACAAACAAAAAAACTTTGACTGGACATAGCTCAAGATCTCTCTTTATAAGTGGATTAAGTTCCCTTACGTACACTGGCTCAATCCTTAATGGTAGATTGAAGCTGAAAATCTCTAAGATGTGGATAATGGGAACCCTACCTAGTTTGCTGCTCTGGTGCCTCACCTCTCTGGATTATGTTTACTTTAAAAGTTACATTAAAAACAGATACTTCATGTTGAAGAAATGGATTGATATGGTTGGCCAGGATTACTGCTACATATATTTTAAGGACCTTGAAGGATTTTGCAGGTTATGTAAAAAATTCTATGTAAAAAACCTGGGTGTAACGTGGACTATGAAACATGCCACACCAAGATGGAACATTTTTTTTTAAAGGATGGACCTATTTATACATTTTCAATTTTCAAATATTTATTATATATTTATTTATTAAAGAGTTTATTTTTTACTGGTATATGAAGATATTACAAAGAGAAAAAACAACAACAAAAATTCCTTTATTGTGCCATTATTTTGTTGTAGTATCTTTGTCTGTAAAGAAGACATCATTATTACAACAATTAAACATAGAATAAGATCTTGAGTTACTTTTTAAAAATAAAGTAGAGCATAGATTATATTTTTTTGCAGCCATTTGCCTTCTAAATGTAACATTGGTTCTTTTGACCTAGAAAAATGCTTTAACAATTTGTATTGAATTCAACACACATTCGAAAGGAAATTAAACATTTTTTTAAAATATATTTTGGCTTCATTCCTTTTCAGGTGAAAGTTATTCTACTTGTATAACATAATCATTTAAATGACAAAATATTAAGTTCCCTAGAAAAAACCTTCAGTACTTAGAGAACTTCTAATGTTGAAATTTATCAAACATTATGGACAACTGACGTATTTTCTTGATTCAGTGTGAAAAGACCATTTCTTTTCCCACTATGATCACAGAAAGAATTAATCTTAGTGGTACCACCACTAACAATGGTAAGGCTCCATCTACTTATCTGCGTCTGGTATCTTTTCCGTAATAGTTCCTATTTAATAATTTATCCAGTAAATATCCATTGAAGCCTGCTATACAGAAGATACTGTTAGGCACAATGTGGTGATCAAGGCAGATGGGCCCTGCATCATGGAGTTTAATGTCTAATAAGGAAATAGATGGTGAATAAATAAGCTAACAAATACCATAACTGTGAATTGTGACATGCTCTATGAGGAAAACAAGGTTCAGACACAGGGAGAAGAGAACACATTTTGATAGGATGAGTCATAGAAAGCTTCTCTAAACAGGTGGTGTTTTTAATGGGTCCTAAAGGGTAAGAAAGAGCCAGACAGCCAGACACCCTAAATGGAGAATAAGAATCTTACTAGAAGAGGAGACAGCGAGTGCAGAGTCCCAAAGGCAAGAAAGAGCTTTGTGGCTGGAGCTTAGTGATCAGTTGGGAGAGTGGCGCAGATGAGTTTAGAAAGCTACGCAGATACAAATCCTGTAGGTTCTTAAGGGCCGTTCTGAGGTCTGTTCACTTTTGGCAACAGTTGTCAATGTCACTACTGTTAGGTGAGCGATCATCATTGGGGATATGGTAATGATAATGGTAGCAGCTGCCACCTGGTCCCAAGCTGCAAGTCCTGGTAAAACACAGATTGCTGGGCCCCAAGCTGAAGAGTTTCTGATAAGTTGGTCTTGGGTTGGACCCAAAACTTTGTATTTTAACAGGTTCTCAGGTAATAGTGATGCTATTGGCTGGAGGCCATATTCTGAGAACCACTAGTGTAGAGTAGTGTTTCTCAAACTTTAAAGAACCCACAAAATCAACTGGAGGGTCCTGTTAAAGGACAAATTCGTTCATCTATAAGTCAGGAGGGGGAGAGGGAGATAAGATTTTGCATTTCTAACACTGTCCCAGATGCTGCTTGATGCTACTAGGCCACGGACCACACTTTGAGTGGCAAGACTGGCTGTTGCTTTAACACTCTGGTGTTATTCCTATTTGTTCATCCTCCAGTTGCTTAAATAAATTAATGGTGATATATGGGGTGAGGGTAGGAAGTTTAACATATAACTTTAATAAAGCTACATGGGAATTTTATGTGTTGGGGGAGTTGTGTGTATGTCTACTTGAGTGTATTCAGGCTGAGAGAGACAGAGAGAAATGTTTCAGCTCAAAACCTTTTGGTTTTAAGAATGTAAAAAGTAGTAAAGATGGTTTAATAATCTTCAAGGTAAAGTAATTCCTATTTTCTCTAGTGCTAGAGAATTTATCCCTATAGTAGGACAATAAAGGTACAATTCTGTCCAAATGAAGTCAAACTAGATTGGTGACCAAAGTTAATAGGGATCTAAAAAATACATTTGCTACATCAGGGACCACGGATTACTAAAAGGTTGATTTAATGTTCATCTCTATTTTAGACTAGTCAAATCTGGGGTAAGTGGTATATGGGGTTATTCTCAGTTCCTTCAACACCCTTGTTATGTAATTTGGTAGACTCCTAATGCACTTTGGTAATATTTGATATTTGCAACTGTGATATATAGTTGTTCTAGAGCAGTGGTTCTCAACCTTCTGGCCCTTTAAATACAGTTCCTCATGTTGTGACCCAACCATAAAATTATTTTTGTTGCTACTTCATAACTGTAATGTTGCTACTGTTATGAATCGTAATGTAAATATCTGATATGCAGGATGGTCTTAGGCGACCCCTATGAAAGGGTCGTTCAACCCCCAAAGGGGTCACGACCCACAGGTTGAGAACCGCTGTTCTAGAGGCTCCCGTTTGGTATGCCCAAATGTTTGGGTCCTACCCTTTAACCTTTTGAATGTTCTTTCCATTCCTAGAATTGCAATAAATCACTTGCAATTACATACTCAGGGGAAGGAGATATCACTTCAGGGAAACGTCTTTGGTCTTCTGTATCCAGCAATTATCACATCCATATCCTTCAATAGTCAAAATGATTTCTCTACTTATATTCTAGTTTCCCAGAATTAACGTTATTTTTGATCCTGTATCTAAAGGTCCCTGAGATTCTTGAATGTTATCCTTTGTTCAAAACAGGACTTTCCGGGCAGATCTCACGCTATAATGGACCTGCTTGCATGTTAAGGACTTTGGGGCAATTTGTCCTTCCCTTTGAAAGACTGGGCCTGATCTCCAGACTCTAGGGCCAGGCTTCTTAAATTAAGGGAGATCAAAAGAAATCAAAGAAAACGCTTTGGAAGTTGTTCTTTGTTTTTCATGTGTAGGGAGTTTATCCTTAAGATTTACAAAGTCCTTGTCTCAGTGTTCCCTCTCTTGGCTCAGCTCCCAGTGATTTTGAAGTGGCTTGTTGCTATCTGTGCAGAGGGTTTGCCAAGGTTGTTGCTATGGCTGCTGTGCCAGCAAGTTTAGTTGATTCTTGTGTCCTATTGATTGCCTGTGAATCTTAGCAACTTGCCAGTGTTCCTCTTATGAAATGGGGAAAGTTCTCTCCAATCTAATGACCCTTTGTTTTAGCCCATAGTGACATTCTTGCGCGGACAACAAGCCTAGTCCAAATCCAAATCTTTCCATTAGCCAGTTCTCCAGCAATTTCCCATGAAATTCATGCTTCCATGAAAAGCTATTGGAAGGAAGAAACAGAACCCTTTGAGAGAGACCAAAGATGCCCATTTCTTTGCATTTTCAGTATAAAGAAAATCATCTGGGTCTTTGGGCTCTCCTATCCTGTTGGTCAGGATGATAGTTATTAGAAGTTCTTCCTTTCTATCTGGATCCTGCTTATCAGTTTTCCATGACTAGGGTCGCACCACCACTCCTTGCAAATCACCCCACCTTGGTTTCCGCAATAGAAACAAAGCATTAATTTCAAAGAAATTTCCACTTTTCCTCCTCACATATTGTATTCACTACCTCTCTTTTTCTATTGTGGTAAAATATACATAATATTTTAAAATGTACAATTCTATGTCATTTAAGTACATCTGCATTGTGGTGCAACCATCACTATCATTTCTCTCCAGAACTTTTTTATTTCCCCCAACTGAAACTCTGACCCATTACACACTAATTCCTCTTTCCCCTCTCCTTCCAGCTCCTAGCAACTAATAACATTCTACATATCTTTCTAAGAATTTGACCACTCCAGGAACCCATATAAGTGGAGCTTAGAGAATAGATGTTTATTAGGCAGTGCCCTTGGGATGAACAATTGTAAGAAAATGCAAGGCAATAAGGTGTGGCAGGGAAAGTTGAGCTGTGATATATATGTGATGCCAGACTTAGTCATCTTGATTGAGCTCTGGAGAATTTGTCCCTTATAGTAGGACAATAAAGGCACGATTGTGATGAGTTGTCTAAAACTTTTAACTCATACCTGGATCAGTTGCTGGATGTGTACTTCCACAGGAACTGGGGTTTCTGAAGCTGAGAAAATTCCTGAAGGGGCTGACAGCACCTGGCCATTTGGAGACATAAATCCTTTCTTGCGAAGATGTATAGACAATGAATCTCCATGTTCATAACCATCCACTCATCGTTGCTTGGAACCACATTTTCATGAACATGATATGACTACTGAATCCCTTTGTCTTGGACCTATTCTCATGCCTACTCTGCTGTATTGAGATCCTGTGCAGGTAGAACAAGCTCTTAGGTAGTGATGTTTGCTGAGACACTATGGACAGTACAGGCAATTCATATCTAGAAGGTCTATTCCTATCTGATTCAATCTCAGAGCTTTTCAGGGTAGAGGGGCTCAGGGTAGACAACGTGCCATCAAGTGGACAGATAGTCTCCTTAAGAAATGGTACACATAAGCGCTCAGTGTTGTTTTTTGTTGCTGGCAGGTTGAACATTCAGAGGGAGTAGTAGCTAGATACATTATGGAAAGTGAGTGCCCATCAGCTGCTAGGCATGCCTAACCTTTATCTTTGTCATCACTGTTGCTTTTTAATATGTCCATTGTCACAGTGTTGGACTGGCCAATCACAGCTGGCTGTCAAAATGGCTGAGCCATTCTACCTACTTGGTTGATTAGTAACTCCTCCATGGTGGGAGCTCTTGGATTGGTGTTAACTTTCAATACAAAGGTCTTCATGCTTTATACCCACTTCTATTTACTCATATATATTCGCTTCTGCCAGGCATTTTTGTCTTTAATCTCAATATTTTTTCTTCTAGGATTTTGATCAAACTAGTCAAACTACCCATGAATCCTTATATATTCTAATCTGAGGCAACTTCTTTTTATCATGCAATGTAGATGATGAGATGCACTGTCCCAAACTTTCCCAATTAGAAAGATTTCCCCTGAGTTAGGCTCGGATCTACATACTGAGAAGACTTATCTGTAAACCAAGCTTGGGTATTTTCATGCTTCATTAGCTAAT